AGTCAAATATCTCCTTTAAAGAAGAAGGAAGGGCGCGTTCGATTTTCTTTCACTCGAGTGAACTTTCATCACATTTTCAGGCTTGTAGGAGGCAGGTTTGTAAAACATTACACATTTCATGCTACTCACCAAAGCATAAGATCTCCTGTAATCTCATATAAATGGCCCAAAATGTGTTTAACCTTTACACTGACAGGGATTTCAAACTTTCTTCATCCAAAGTGAAAGCAGAGTTACAAGTTAGCCCAAGGTTCCTGATAGATTATTCAACAAATGTCAAAAGAGGACCAAGAGCTTTCATCATCGTAGATACAAATCTGCCAGGAGCACACACAAGGACTTCAGTTTCAGTAAATGTATAACTGAATGCCATCTGCATAGCAGCAATAGCAAATATCTTCAACGGGGCTCAAAATATGCTGAAGAGGAAGTAGAAAGGGAAGTGGCAGACAACCTGTCACAGAAACGCATCGTTCAGACAAACATGAGGCAGATCCAGACACACCGACCCAATATTTGTTGGGTTTTTCTCTGTGTGTAGTATTGTGGGGTCTACCTTACAACACAAAGCACCTTGAGGTGACTGTTGCTATATAAATAAAACTGAATTGAATTGAATAATTAACATCATAACAATGGCAGCAGCATTATGCAAGGAGACGTGTTGCAGACAGGTTGCACTCATCAGCACACACTGGCTCAGGCTGACTGCAGTTATTCTCTCCCTCTGTGAGTGATTCAGTGACCACCAGGTGACCTCTGCGATAACCCTGCTACTGAAAGCTGATCCTAAGTTACCATCTCCAGATTCAGCCAGTCTTCCTCCAAAACCTCTCTTTAAAAATGACCCATCTTCAGATGCTGCTCCTGTCTGTTTCTGTCCTGTTGGTGCTGACATGAACTTTAATTTGACCCAGAAGTTGTTTCAGAGAGCAGCAGAAAGAGCCAATCAGGAGTCTCATCTGTTCACCGCAGCCGCTCGTCAAAAACTAAACCGGTTCTGACTCGAAGCACAAAAACATCCCAGAGCAGCCCGACAATCAGCAGCCATCTTGGAGGTAATGAGAAAACTGTGACTGTTTTAACGTTTCATTGACCTCACCGGCTCGCTGATTACACTTGTCAATATTGTGCTGCACGCCGCCGCCGCCTCCTGAGCAGGAAGAAGATGAGACAGCGGTGAACAGGCCACTTATGGTCTCAGCGCCTCAGCAGAATCGCAGATGAGTGGACTGACTCCATACGATGCAGGATGTGTTCATTTCTCAGTCACACAGCAGCTAATATATTAAAGTAGGATTTGTTTCTGATAACACAAAATAATCACCACGTACTTTTCAAAGGGGGGTGACGATGAGTGTTTTCCCAGCTGCTTCCTGGCTTTTAAAATCGGCTGTTTTCAGCGGCTCAGTGGCAGCAAACTGGCCTGATGTGTTAGAAATGTTATAATTAACAAGCATTCATGGCTGAAATGTTTAATGGCACAAACAGTTTGCAATCAATATATTTAATCAACACTTACGTTTCCACAGACACATTTTGGTAAGATTGTGCCCGGTGGTGTTATATCGAGTGGAAAATGTGGGCACATTTAAGAGTCCACACATGCAAACTCACAGCCTTACATTGATTCCTGCATGCACTCGCACTCACACACACACACACACACACACACACACACACACACACACACATCAGCGTCTCTGGATTTAAAATAAAAGCGGGAACATCAGGAGACCTTGATCAGTCGATCTGGGTCAGTTAATAACTTCCTGATTTTTTTCAAAGGTGCACATAACAGTGGCTTTGGTATCACCACCTCTATTGGTTTTGATGTGTTTCACTACAACTTGTTCATGAACAAACAGATTAATTCACAGGATGTGAGAGACGGCAATGTCGGCAGGTATGCAAAGATTGACCTTCCCGCAGGGACTCACCTGTCAGCAGATCAGGTGTGTGTGGCTTTAACATTTTAAACTCGGGTCTAAAAGGTTTACATTGAAAAAAGCAATAGATGGATGTCTATTTTACTCCCTGTCTGACATCCCATTGGTTTAAAAATTAGACAGAGCTCTCTGTGTGTGAAGCCCCGCCCTCTTCACACACACGTAAACAGGCTGAGTGAAACATCTTCCTGGTTAAATAACCTCCTGTGTTTCTGTGCTGACAGCGAAACGTTGCTGACTGACGGATAAATCTGTTGATGTTTGCTCGGTGATCACAACACGCCCCCCCCCAGCTTTATTTATAAGCTGACCCACCTCTGTCACTCTGTCCAGATGTGACACGCAGGCATCTCCTGCATTAGAGTAATTACGCACACACAGAAAAAATGTGTTTTCGTGTATTTTGCGTCAGGCGGAGGGAGGGTGCTGCCGGCTGCAGTTGACTTTAACAGACGCTCGGCGTGCCATCTGTGGGGCCAAAGCTCTTAATCACCCTTAAGTCTATTGGACAGTGCAGCAAATGTCATTAAGAGCTTAAAAAGCACAACCGGCACACTTTCACACACATTTACACATCAGCTCTGAAGGGTTGTGCGTTCTTTTTTCTTTTTTCTAGCAGAGTTCAGATAATTACCATCTGCAGATCATTATTTATTCTCTTATCTTGCTAACATGTGACAAATTAAAGGAAAAACTGAAACATAGACCCCTCCCACCAAATGCCAGACGTCCAATGGCTTTGTTTTCTGGGATGAATCTGGTCAGCTATAGTCTCTGCTGTTAGAAAGGCGTTCTTTTACACACTTATAGAGGTGAAAGTGAAAGATTTTCAGCTTAATATGGGACTGGGATTATTAGTGAATCTGCCTCAGCTGTTACAGCCACCACTTTTATTATCATAAACAATATGATGCAGTCTGCTTAGTGTCTTCATCATCATCAATTAGCTGAGCTGCATCATAGAGATTACGTTTTAAAAGAACTTCCAGCAGATGAGCTGATGACACTCACACAGCTGTCACTTCAAATCTATTTTTAATGAAAACATCAGGAAAAAATGTTCATCATTGAAATATTAGCTGGGAACGTATAGTAGGAACAAGAGTGACACATCCAGACAGCATTCATAAGAGTAGATATGCACTGATAGCAAAACCATCAGAGCTGTAAAATGAAGCCAGCATGGACATGACAAACACTGCACTTCCTCTGATGTCCACTAGGGGCTGCCTCCAACCTAGTCCTCGTGAATTCCCAACTTTACAGCAGAAATAAACATGTTTACAACCTGCTACAAAAGTAAACAAACAAAAACCACTTTAGGTCTCTACTGACAGTAATGGTAAGGCTTAAAGTTAGGGGCGTGGCCACTTTGATTGACAGGTTAGAAACAGAAAGCTGTTGCTTCTACCTGTGTGCTGGGCCTCACCTGCACAGGACATTATCTGTGTGCTGCAGTCTGTGCTTCAAATTTGATGAGAGCCATTCTAGTGTAATAGTCTGTTACTTAGCAGTAAGTGGATAACCTAGCAGTGTGAGTGTGTGCAGACCTGTATGGTTTATAATTTAGCTGATAAACACTCGGCCCATTTATCTAAATAGGGTCAAACACTTATATATCCATAAAGTATGACAGCAGCCAAAATGCTCATAGTGGTTTCCAAATGTGATGAGTAAAATAATCACAAAATTAGTTTTTGTGACTATTTTACATCTTGACTCGGCTCTTTGTGTTAATTCACCTCTCTGCATTCAGTCATTAGTTATTCATCTCTGGCTCTCTTTCACAGTGTGTATTCTCCCCCACCTCCAACTGATCACAGCAGATGCCTGCCCTCCCTAAGCCTGGTTCTGCTGGAGGTTTCTTTGTGTTGAAAGGGAGTTTTTCTTTCCCACTGTCCCCATGTGCTTTCCCATATTTTTTTTAAAGGCTGAAATGTAAATAATCATGTAAATATTCAGTCAGTGTGTGTGTTCGTTTTGGACCCTCATACTTAAACCCAGCATGCGCTGAGGTGATGTATCTCATAATGAGCTCATGGTAACATGACTGAACTCCATCATGGCTAAAAACGCATCGCTGACCCTCTGCGGTGAGCTCCGGGGTCCCGTAGGCGGCTATAATTAGCACCGTCCCGGTGAGCAGGCAGCATATGTAGAGCGGGGGCGTTTTTTTGGCTCCTACACACACACTTCCGTGTTTATCTGTCACCGTAAAGCAGGAAGCACTGTAGTAATGTGTAGGAGTTGACGAGCCCTCCTGCTGCTGGTTCCTCACAGGTATGTCCACCGGTTACCGTCTCAACTCTCTCCCCCTAACGTCCCCCTCCCGCCTGTCTCCGCTCCGTAAACCCTCCGCAGCCGTTTGGACCGCAGACATTAGCCTCTCCCGGGCTAATTCCTCCCGGACGGTCCGTGTTTACACCGCTGTTCCTGTTTAGCCCATTAACGAGCCTCCCGGCCTCTCTGTTGTCTCTGTTGAAGGTGTCTTATGAAGCCACAGTCAGGTGATTTCTGCCGTTACAGGTAAAGAGAAAGCAGCCGGGGAAGGAGCTACATGGAGGCTAACTAACTGAGCCCGGATCCGTCGGTGCTCGGCAGACGATCACACACACACACACGGGGACTGCGGTACATCGGTACCGAAATGCCAGCCGGTAAGTTGCATGTCGGTGTGTGTCAATGAGTGTGAGTGTGTGTGCTGACATGTTTGACAGATATCCCTACAGTCCGGTGTGTCAGTGTTGCGTTTAAGTGTTGGGCTAATTGTCACAACGGTAAATGGCTGTCTAAAAAAAAGTGCGGTGGTGTGTTCATGGTCACTGTTTCACTGTGGGATTTTTAAGGTGTCACCTGTAAATGACGGATCGATCGATTAATTGATGATCTTCATCCTTAAAATGCTTCTCAAAGTAGATAATCTTTTTTTAGTCCATATTGTTACACGTTTCACCTATAGAGTGTAACACATATCTTCAAATCAGTTTAGAAGCAAAATAATCTGGGTTTTTTTTTCAATTTGATAAGCTGCAGATTGTTACTTTGGACATACAAAGGCCCTAATTCATTTAACTGTTTAAAAAAACAAACCCAGTTATGATTTAAGTTTCAGTGAATATGGAGAATATTACGACAGTGCAGCTCTTTTGTCCATCCCTAAAAGGTCAAACTCACTCGCTGTATAGTTCAGTTCCAGCCGAGATCTGCTCAGCTCAGCAAGATTGGTCTCGAGGAAGAAAAAAGTTTTGACGAGAGAATGTTTGGAAGTTACGACTCCAGAAAAACATTACTGACAACATCTAACAAGGAAGGGCCTGATATGTCATCACATGGTTCAGAGTGAATCATTGTCCTCGTCAGTAGGGAGTGTCCACTGGAAAACTTGGGTGGTAACTTGTACATCCATTGTCTGCTTTTGTCGAATAAACATAAAAATGCCTTTCAATACAGAAAAAACTTTTATGTGGTGCAAGAAAAGCAAGAAAAACACCAAAACAAGGTGCTCGGTGGAGGATAAGCCCCACAAATAAAATATCCAAGTCGTTTTTAAATCTAAAAATGGAGACTGCGTCCTTCTCTTTTCACCATCGCCTGTCGGTTGGGTGTAACTGCTTCTGTGCCGTGAAAGAAATAAGGATGAGATGTGGGCTAAATCTATCAAGCGCTGCCTCGAGCCGTGCAGTAACTGTGATAACGCTGATATAAACTCATAGCTGAGTATCATTTCTGATCTAAAGCTTTTCCTCTGAATGCTGTTGTGAGTCACTCCTGCTGCCAGTGCGTGTAAGGTGCGGTCAGACCTGTGAGGCCAGGTGGAGTTTAACCCTCTGATGTGATGAAAAGCAGCCGATGATGAGAGCAGGGCTGTAAACAGGAATAAATTGTAGGAGATGGCAGGAGTTAGCTTCTCTGAGCTGTCCCTCCTGCTCTGCTGCAAACATTATTTGATCATCCAGGTGAATAAGCTGCACTTTATTTCTGAAGATCAGACTTGTTTGTAGCCTGAAGCCAGCCTGACTCTATCACTCCTAAGCTGGCTGAACACTGGTCAGACTTCACTGTCAGTGTCTGTAAGTTCAGACCACCATGACTGAAGACTTTATTACACGAATGTATTTCCTCCTGTATGTAAATCACTGCTCTCTGCAGCAGCTGTGTAACTACTGGTGCAGTTTTAATGTCAGCTTGGTTTCAACAAAATCGTTTATTAAGGAGGAATTGATCTTAATTTTCAATCGACAGACCTAAACATTCACCTACATGCACACGCAGCTGAATCCCTGATGTCCACTTCATTAGATTCCTGGAATATTATGGATTTTTGTGGAAGTGTGTTGCAGAGAGGAAGCATCAGTCAGGCAGTCTCAGAGGCAATTTGACGACTGGGTCCCTTTAACAGAAATGAATCCAGATGCTTTTTTCCTGTTGTTTCCCCCCTCACGGTATTTTCTGCATCCAGCCCACAAAGTTTGATTTGTGGAAATGACGCAGCTGCTGTCGGCATCACAAAGCATTTATTGTCATTGAACTTTTGCGGTGTATTCAAGTAAATAATAAAACATGTGTAAACATAAAAACAGCTCTCATATAGCACACTGGATGCGTGAGACGTCTTCCAGTGTAAGATACCGGTGCCAGACGAAGATGAAACCCGTCCAAGTGCTGTTTGTTTGTTTGTTTGAGCATTTGGAAAGAAGCTGTGGTGCTTCTGGATTTCATGGATTGATGACGTCTACTAAAACGCAGCAGAAGTCACACGTGAACTTCTGATAGTTTCAGGGATTTCTTTTCCTCGTGCAGACGGTGACAGACAGGTCGGGGTGGTCTGTGGTGGTATAGAGAGGGCTGTTGATGAAGTGATTCCTGCCCTCACCTGTGGTCGCGAGCTGTGCATAGTGATAGAAAGAAAGAGCTCATGGATACGAGCTGCAGAAATGAGTTTCTCTGAAGGATGTCTGGGCTCTTCCTTAGAGACAGAGTGAGGAGCTCCATCACTTTAAAGGACTCAGAGTAGAGCTGCTGCTTCTCCACGTTGATAGGAGCTGGGTGAGGTGGTTCAGGATGTCGCCCGGGGCACCCACGACATGCTGGAGTGATTATGTCTCCCAGCTGGACTGGAAAAGCCTCTGTGCCCCCCCCAGAAGAGCTGGAGGAGTTGGCCAGAGAGAGCAGAGTCTGGGTCTCTCTGCTTGGACTGCTGCCCAGATGCAGAGAAGCAGCAGAAGATGGATTTAAGTTTTCTGCTGTGAAAACTTGTTTCTGAGTTTGAAAACCCGTCTCATTCATCACAGAGGAAGTCCTAAAGTTTGATTCTCAGGGATTTGACAGGGTTTTTGTTTTCTGCCGGCTGTAGGTGGAGTGAGTCACACCTCTCGACACTGGAGTTTGTCATCTTAAAATTCAGCATTTTTGTTTTGCTTTTTTCTTCCTTCGCTCTCTGTAACTCTCATCTTTTATCTGCTGCATTAAAGATGAAGTCAAATAAAATAAATCAGTCTTTTTATTAAAAACACATCGAGGTTTCTGTGATCTGCTGCAGTGGTTTTTTTCTTGTCCTTCTTACTCTCTGTCCTCACTTTAACCCCTTGAATCAGCGATACGTGATTTCAGACTGCGTGTGTGTGTGTGTGTGCGTGTGTGTGCGTGCGCGTGTGTGTGTGTGTGTGTGTGTGTGTGTGGGTGGGTGGGTGTGGAGTCTTGACTGTTTCTATTTTGGGAAAGTTGGACTTTGGGCGCCCTCGCCTTTTCTCCTCCTCGAGCAGCAGCTCTGGCAGGTAACCAGCTGCTGTTTACTGCAGATCGTTTCTCTCCTAAAAACCCACTTGGCTGCTGAGACAAGTAGGATGAGAAACGAGTCTGCGGGCCAAGAAACAATCTCCCCCCAGACGGACTCATTATGCTTTGGAGCAGTAGCTGGTGCTGGTGGTGGAGGAGGAGGAGACGGAGGTGGTATTTCAGGCTGCTGATGTGTGTGGATGCTGGCGGTTTTGCTGCAGACAGCATCTGCAGCTTCAAGGACTCTGCATCCCTGCAGGCCTCGAGTCTGCTCTATAATTAGTCCTGGTGGTAAACTGCTGATTGCATTAGTGTTAATGTGACGCTTTCAACATCGATCCCCGATGGGCTGAAGGAGCCGCGCAGGGGTGCGTGTATACATGTATGCATGCATGTATGTATGTATGCATGTGTTTGCTGGACCCAAACGTCCCTCCTTATGTTTGTTTAACTTAACATTAAAAGTTTTCCACTTTTAAAGGGTGAAAACATTGTTTGGACACACACAGCACTTCAGGGCACTGAACTAATTATTATAATATTTTATTATTAATAATAATAATATTGTGATTTACACTTCCTTAATAAATGACTCCAGATTGAAGTAAAGGCCTACGCTGGGAATAAAAGTAGGGATTTACATTTACTTGGAAACTACTCGATAAAGATGAGACAAAACAAGACTAAACCTCTGAGGGTTAATCAGATCAGTTTGTGATAATAAAAATGAAAATGTTCTCAGTTTTTACAGAGCTCAGGTTTCTCGGTTGCTATGGTTACGCATCCCACTGAAGAGTCTCAGTCATGCGTGCTGTTGGTGTCGGCGACAAACAGCGCTTTGTGACTGTTTCACTTTATTTTAAAACGATTTAACGGCCAAGTTTAAAATAACTTTATTCTAAAACGAGCTCCCAGACAGACGGTGGGCGTCAGTGATTGGTCCTTAGTTTTTCACGCTCGCAGCTCATTCTCGCCTCTGTTTGGCTGCTAATTGGGCGAAGGAATGTGCTGCTCCCCTCCCCCGCTCGCTAAACAGTCGGTTCACAGGGAGATGCTAACAGGCTGCAGCTGCGGTGATGTCACTTTTTTCTTATTTTTCACATGAATTCTGGAGCAGACGTTACAAACTCGCTGTCGTCTCAACGACGATCCCCCCATGCTCATGTACATCCAACCAAAGTCTCGTCCAATCAGCATCGGTGTCACGTTTCCTTAATTCCATGTCAAACATGGGTCAAGTTTCAAGTTATGACATCAGTGTAGGTACAAGGCTTCAGATTGCTTTAAACACTCAGTATCGGAGCATTGCGAGGGAATGACGCTAATATGGTCATCTCATTCCCACGGTTTGCAAGGGACAGCCAATCAGAAGACAGCTAGCTTAAAGGAGGGTTGGCTTCAAACCTACCCAGTCAAAGTTGAATCAGGCGTGTGCGTCTGAGCCACTGGGAGACAGGAAGTGGATAAAACTGTGTTGATTTGGCTCATTTTCAGTTCTGTTGGCATTTATAGTCGACACAGATTTTTCTGAGCGCTGCTCCATTTCCAGAGCTCTCACTCCTGGGTGTGTTGTGGTCTAGAGGCTCTTATTATCCTCAAAGTGTTAACCACCTCAATTAAGTCATTATGTAGGACAAACCCGCCGTCGCTGCTGTCGCCTCTCCCTGTGCTGCTGCTGCTCTTTAAGTCTGAACGAACAGTCAGATAAGCGCATGGGGAGATAAGTGGAGATAAATGGAAATATTCCTGATGGGAAACATTTTTTATTCTCCTGTTATTATGCAGAGACATTTACATTCAGGGTGATCTGAAGAGGACGCTTCAGTCTACCACTCAGATCCTGAAGCCCGTCGACTTGTAGCCACTAAACGATGCTTTAAAC